CTGCACACCGCTATGTCCAGTCTGACTATGACAGGGGCATGAATTACCAGTCTGGAGTTGGAAAGTAATTGTCCAGGAGTCGTCGACGTACAGTTCAAATGGAGTCAGATATTAAAAAAACACATGGGACTGATCACAATATTGGAAGGCATATTGCTTTGATCTGTGACCTTGATATGTTTGACTGACAGACTGGGGTCATTTGATCAATGTGTCCTCAATATTGGGGTTGGTGACGTCAGCAAACATGGACTGATGAGCATACCCAAGGTAGGCAGTGTCCTTTCCGAGTTCTCACCTCGAGGAGTTGTTATCCCTAGAAATAACAGAAAAAACAATGAAAAATCGACTTCTACAAATCAATTATCAAAAACCTGATTCTGCAGTGAACCCCACGTTATTCGCATTTTTCATTTATATGCAGTGGATACTGTTAGAATAAAAGTTAGAAATGACACAAATCTATGTTGTTCTCTTCATTCCCCGTGTATAGGAGAAACTAACGAAAATCCCGAATTCTGCAGGGGATCTGTAAACCACTCCATACGGCATTACATGTAACACCATCTGTCCTGGCATATTTATATATCATTATAGACAATCATTCGGATTCAAATCAACCCCTAGGCTAACCACCCCTGCACGCACAGCCACAGAAAAAGCAGAAACGATTGGTTGTAAATATCAAAAGAGTCAACAAGTTTTGTTTGTAAAGTAAAAGTTTATTTTTGCTGTCAAGGTGTTAGCTGCTGACTTTTCCTTTCTCTGTTTGTCGTCCTAAGCTGTCCTGATCCGTTCTCTGTCGTTCTCTGTAGGTCGTCCTTACATAGGTAGCTGTACTGAGCCGTTCTCTGTAGCTCTCTCTAGGTCGTCCTAAGCTGTCCTAAGCTGTCCTGAGCCGTTCTTTGTCGCAATCTGTAGGTCGTCCTATGCTTTCCTGAACCGTTCTCTGTCGCTCTCTCTAGGTCGTCCTAAGTTTTCCTGAGCCGTGCTCTGTCGCTCTCTCTAGGTCGTCCTCAGCTGTCATGAGCCGTTCTTTGTCGCTTTCTCTAGGTCGTCCGAAGCTGTCATGAGCCGTTCTTTGTCGCTCTCTTTAGGTCGTCCTATGCTTTCCTGAGTCGTTCTCTGTCGCTCTCTCTAGATCGTCCTAAGTTTTCCTGAGCCGTGCTCTGTCGCTTTCTTTAGGTCGTCCTAAGCTGTCCTAAGCCGTTCTTTGTTGCTTTCTCTATGTCGTCCTAAGCTGTCATGAGCCGTTCTCTGTCGCTCTCTCTATGTCGTCCTTAGCTGTCCTGAGCCGTTCTCTGTCGCTATCTCTAGGCCGTCCTAAGCTGTCCTGGGCCGTTCTCTGTCGCTCTCTCTATGTCGTCCTAAGCGGTCCTGAGCCGTTCTCTGTCATTCTGAATTGGCGTAACTTGCGTGTCTTATTTATAGGAAATCGATTTGTATTAACATGTACAGGTATACTGTCTACCATTATCATTCCATCTATGTTCCCTTGCAAGCTGTCGTCCCTTCATATCTGTTGGTCTAAATAAACTCAAATTGAACCTATGCTTATATATCGCCCCTAAGCTACATGTATATTGTGATCTTTGAAAAATATCAAGCTCCGGACAACAGGTGCTAACCTTGATAAGGGTAACTTTCCTATCTGTCGGTCGTGTTACGTCTCTTTAATTCTTCACCCCTTCCGGACCCATATATGGTTTATTGTTTCTACCTCATTGTTCTCGTTCTTTATCTGTGCTCTCCCGGGCTGAAAACATTGCAAGACAGTCACTATCCGTTGATGGTGGGTTCGACCCAACATAATATGTCATTTCCGACGAATGACGTAATGTACATGACAACGGAACATAAACAGACTCGATCAAAAACGAGACTTGTTCTAGTTAAAAGAAACCTTAATAATACGGAACCTTTCAAATGTATACATCACCTGTATTTGCAGTAAATAAAATATAACATCGAAACATATTTTTCCAATGCGTTATCTGTTATTAAGTTGGACGGGGTTTCTTACCGTCATGTCATTTGTTGTAATTAATTCTTTTATAAAGAAGCATATACACGGTGGAACATACCATGGACGAATTAAACAAATGAAATCAAAAGGTTTTTTTGATATGGACAGTAAAATTGCAACGGGGTCAGATTGGGCTTCGAAGCCTGGACCTCCAAAGTTTGGACTACAGTTACGGTTGCTTTAACCAACTAACCACTAGCTGGTAAGTGGTGTTCACTCCTGTCCAGTCCCCCTACGAAATCAAAAATAGATATGACAAGACGGGCAAAACTTCTGTAGAACAATCTAGCGATTTGCCTAATGTGGGACAGGGATCATTAAATTATAAATTTCGTAATGACCAAGATACAGTTGTCCAGGTTCAACAACGTTATTAGTGCTAACACTGCTAATCGTTGGCTTTCAGCGAAAATGTATTTTAACGATGTTGAGGCTACAATCAATTCAATTGAGATTGAGATTTGTTATTGGCAACAATCCTTATAGATAACGTGTTCCTCGTTTAAACTTACCTCGTCGCATATTTATAAGATATGCATGAATTTGCAACCAATTTTTTGGACGAATTGGTTGAAAAAAANGAATTGGCGTAACTTGCGTGTCTTATTTATAGGAATCGATTTGTATTAACATGTACAGGTATACTGTCTACCATTATCATTCCATCTATGTTCCCTTGCAAGCTGTCGTCCCTTCATATATGTTGGTCTAAATAAACTCAAATTGAACCTATGCTTATATATCGCCCCTAAGCTACATGTATATTGTGATCTCTGAAACATGTCAAGCTCCGGACAACAGGTGCTAACCTTAATAAGGGTAACTTTCTTATCTGTCGGTCGCGTTACGTCTCTTTAATTATTCACCCCTTCCGGACCCATATATGGTTTATTGTTTCCACCTCATTGTTCTCGTTCTTTATCTGTGCTCTCCCGGGCTGAAAACATTGCAAGAAAGTCACTATCCGTTGATGGAGGGTTCGACCCAAAATAATATGTCATTTCCGCCGAATGACGTACTGTACATGACAACGGAACATAAACAGACTCCATCAAAAACGAGACTTATGGCAGATACTTGTTCTAGTTAAAAGAAACCTTAATAATACGGAACCTTTCAAATGTATGCATCACCTGTAAATGCAGTAAATAAAAAAAAAACATGGAAACATTTTTTCCAATGCGTTATCTGTTATCAAGTTGGACGGGGTTTCTTACCGTCATGTCATTCGTTGTAATTAATTCTTTTATAAGGAAGTATATACACGATGGAACATACCAAGGATGAATTAAACAAATGAAATCAAAAGTTTTTTTAATATGGACAGTAAAATTGCAACGGGGTCAGATTGGGTTTCGAAGCCTGGACCTCCAAAGTTGCTTTAACCAACTGATCACTAGCTGGACAGTGGTGTTCACTCCAGTCCAGTCCCCCTACGAAATCAAAAATAGATATGGCAAGACGGGCGTTTCGCCTAATGTGGGACAGGGATCATTAAATTACAAAGTACGTAATGACCACGATACAGTTGTCCAGGTTCAACAACGTTGTCGGTGCTAATACTGCTTATCGTTTGCTTTCAGCGAAAATGTATTTTAACAATTTTAAGGCTACAATCAACTCAATTGAGATTGAAATTTGTTATTGGCAACAATCCTTATAATCTCGTTGCATATTTATACGATATGCATGAATTTGCAACCAATTATCTGGACGAATTAATTTCAAAAAATTGTATCAGTCTACAATTGTTGTTCGTTTTCCTGAAAAAAGTTCTAGGGGGCGGGGCAACACATAGTTTTATAGCGGCAACACATAGTTCTACAGGGTCATACCTAGCTCTACAGATCCCCATATTGATATCCAAACTATAGCATGCCATCTCCGCCTCCCAAATCACAAAAGTGTGTACCCGCATCAACGTAAATTCATTACGTTAGACGTCTTAATTTAGTTCATGGCACGCACGTAAAGGGAAATGTTTACTTCCCAAGCACAGTACGCCGTCTTTACTACTGCCAATTATTAGGTATTTTCCTTATAATATGGTAACTTCCGACATTTCGAAATTCCCGTTTTGGCCCCGGTTGCTAACGCATTAATTAGGATTTATGTTTATTAGATTGGTAATTAACGCAACCAAAACAAAAAAAAACTACAGAGATAAACACTTGACAATAAATTACTATTTGTATTTAGAAATGAAAAATGAATTAAAAAATAAATAAATAAAAGTCGACATNACAGGGGTCATACCTAGCTCTACAGATCCCCATATTGATATCCAAAATATAGCAGGCCATCTTCGCCTCCCAAATCACAAAAGTGTGTACCCGCATCAACGTAAATTCATTACGTTAGACGTCTTAATTTAGTTCATGTCACGCACGTAAAGGGAATTGTTTCTTCCCAAGCACAGTACGCCGTCTTTACTACTGCGAACTATTAGGTATTTACCTTATAATATGGTCACTTCCGACAGTTCGAAATTCCCGTTTGAACCCGGTTGCAACTACAAAAAGAGGGAAACAAATAAGAAACGAAACGAAATAATGTAGTTTTGATAAAACGGTTCACATAACCTAGCTAATTCATGTTGGCAAGATAACTATTCTTCCATTGTCGACAGGTAAAGCTTGTCGGCCAATAGATAAGGGCGCAGATACGAATATTTTGCACGTCTTCAACCACCGAGTGACTTGAACTAGTGAAACGTAAGTATGTTGCATATACGACTGATCATGATGAATTCTATATTTCTCGGCTCTCTAGCTAAAAAGTGTGTCTTGACAGCAGTACATATGTTATTGTTTATTTAAAACAACCCAATGACCACGTGTTATTAGATAATAATTCAGCATATCAATTATATACAACCACTTCTGTATTTCTGCTTGATCGGTAATCTATTTCAAGCAGTAGCCTTGCTCAAGTCCGACTTTTTAAAAAATATAAACGGGAGAAGGGCCAATTGATTCAACCGCCTGTAATTCAGGACGGTCATTATACATACTGACACAACCTGAAGTGTAGTAAGATTAAAACAAGACTTTACAGGAAACACGGGGTATGTACATTCTTTTGCGATATTTTGATCGAACATAGATTTTTGATAACAGTCGTTCCATGGGAACGTCACTTCCTTACGTTCGCAACATTACTGGCCAGCAATGTACAGTTGCTCAAAAAAACATGGATTTATGATATTTCAGTGCTTTCTCATATTGAAATTCTATGTCTTCTTTCTTAATGCCTGTATCGGTAGATTACTACTATCACCATGGAGACAAAGACTGCCTTGGTAACGGGCTCCACAAGTGGCATGGGCCTAGGTGTGGCCACATCTCTGGCACAGAAAGGCTATCACGTGATCATGTGTGGGTCAAGGTCAACGGAGGAGGCTTTGGAGGCAATTAACAAGGTCAAGAGGTACATGTTTATACACCCAATCGTAAACAGTGAAAAAGATGCAGGGGTACCATCGTCGAATTTCGCCATCCAAAGTTTTTGCATTTTACTAATTGAAATATTTTAAAAGTTGTAAAACCAATTGTGTTGTATTTGGAATTGCATCACAAATCAGTAACAGTTTTCGTGCATTTTATTGTCAAATTATATGCTAAAAACTTGATCATTTGATCCAGCTTTCGATCATACTACACAAAACCAGCTAAATTTCAATACAGATTTGCGTTAAAGGTTTCTTTAAAATCATTGCATTGCAAAGATATTGAACAAAGAAAAGAATTCAAAACATTTTGTTCAAACTATGATTCTTTTAACATTCAGCTTGATATTTCCTTCCAATAATGCAGAGGTCAAGCATCAGTTTAGTTGTTTGTATTTTAGTCTATACATATCACTATGGTAATATCCATCAATCAAATAACACAATAAGTTTACACGTGACCACACATAAGTAACAAGGTAAACAAAGCCACATCACAGAACATTGCTTAACCGTAATATGTAAGTGGAGACAGATATAGAGGGTATGCAGACAACAAAGAAATGTGAAGGTCCCAAGAATTCAATTGCTGCAGACGATCTTAGTTATTTTTATTATTTTATTGTTCCCTACTAAGCAGAGGACGTTGAAGAGTGAGGGGAAAATAACACGATTATGGATTTGTCACAATGTTTAACATGTAGGCCTTCTATCTATCAACTGTGCCATTTTGTCTGACTAGTTCTGCGCTCCAAAGTGTCGACTATGTCCAGTCTGACCTGAAGACAGAGGCTGGAATGGTCAGTCTATGTAAGGAGGTGGACCGTATTTGTCCGGATGGCGTCGACGTACTGGTCAACAACGCAGGTACACGACCGCTTACGTTAGCCATTTAGTCACGTGATCATGACCCGGTTCCTTGCTTTCGAGTATTCAACGAATGAACTCGTTAATCAATTAATTCGTAATTTCTGTATTGGATTAAGTATTTATGAACGAGGTTATGGAAAAAATACCGACCATTGTATGCACGTGCTTTATACATTGCAGGAATGCAACATGTCACTCCTGTAGAGGACTGCACGCTAGCAAAGTGGAACGAGGTGGTCGCCATCAATCTTACGGCGCCGTTTTATCTTATCAGCCATTTTGTCCCCCGAATGAAGCAGAAGGGTTCGTTCACTATCTATGTCCTCTCTATCGTGTAAAAACAAGTACAGGAAGATCAGAGGGTCGGTAATATCAACTACTTGAACCATGAAACAGAGTTATGTCCCTTTCTATACACGGTAACGCATTATTAAATGCACGAAGTTCAGCTCCTTTTCAATGCAGCAGAATTTTGCTTTTTTTATTCACAGTAAATCATTATCAAACAAGTGAAGCAGAATTCTTACCCCTTTCTACACCGTAATGCATTNAAAAAAAAAAAAAAAAAAAAAAAAAAAAAAAAAAAAAACATTATCAAATAGGTGTAGCAGAATTCTGGCTCTTCAACATAAATTGCGTATTTCAGAACATTTTATTCGGGTCGCTAAATATGCTTTGCAGTAAGGTTTATGTAGCACAACCACAACACTTGTTTTTTGTGACGTTAATTGTATGTAATATCATGGAGGCATAGCCCCAACGTATGTTTATAAAAAAATAAAATGTGTCGGTGATAGCCACCAGAAGGCCAAAATTGTATTGGCACCCCTCCTTACTGCAAGTTACATGTAATAAGAAATCCTCTCACCTATCAGTATAGTTTTATTCTTTACAACGTCTTTGTTCTCAAAGTATAATGTATATTTCTAAATATCTTAACGTCTTTACAACCAGAAGTTTTTGGGTACAAAAGCGTATTAGAGCACCGGCTCGGATGTCGTATGATTAAATGTGTCTTCATGATTCTATATATAGGAGGATTAACAAAGAACCGTTCCGCTTTTCCAGGATCCAATAATGAAAGAATATCAAAAACTGTTCTGTAATGTTGTAATACAGAATCAGCTCAAAGCATTTTCGTTAAGCTGTTCACTTCCTAGAGCTAACAAAGTACGTGATTATGACCTTATTCTACACAAATACTTCTACTAACAGGCTGGGGTCGCCTGATCAATGTGTCTTCTAGGATGGGGCTGGTGGCTTCAGCCAACAAATCCCCGTATTGTGCTACGAAACATGGAGTAGTAGGCATGACGAAGGTATGTATCAGTGTCTACTCCGAGTGACACAGAAATGGGGCATACCGATGGATAACAATTCGTTTTTGTGATACAGCGATGTCTTTTAGCAATACTTGGACACAACTAATTGTAGCTTATCGACGCCTTTCCCCCAGCAAACAGTTGCAATAACAACAATGAAAACATGCATATAATTAAAATTGAACGTAAAACATACAGAGGTGATAGCACCGTTCAATTATGGTATTCGATACAGTATGCACAAAATGAATGACACTGAATCCCACAACTGTTTCGTCCTTCTAGGATTCATTGGTGATGCTATGGGGCCAGAAAGTTGGAAATCCAAATTGAATAAATACTTTTTGAAATGTTTAATCTGTTGTAGGAATTGATGAATTTGTACTCATATCTAAAGTCGTTGTTTATATGACGTCATAAGATGTCACGAGACCGTTGAACCACAAACAAACGAAACCTCACCACATCCGCATTGTGTACAACATATCACAAAATCGATACCTCATATACAGACAAAACGTTCATGAAAAATAATAATCTTATAATTGATAACAATGTATATCTTTATGCAATGTTCGTGTTTGAAATGATTGATATTTGTAATTAAAATTGACAAATAAATGTATCGTTGCATTTTATTTAGGCAGTGTCCTTGGAAACCGCTCCATACGGAATCACGTGTAACGCCATCTGTCCTGGCTGGGTTGATACGCCCTGTAAGTAGTGTCGTCATGGTAAATGTATCAGGGAATGCATAATAAATATCCTATTTTGACAGCGAGGTTAAGACACCCCATTCACGAAAACAGACACCCACACAACCTCTTTCCAACCTCCTTACTTTACCCCCAATTTCTTTATACACACTTAGCACAGGGGTGATTTGGACAATTGATTAAAACTATTCTAGCCCTCCTCGCAGACATCGTCATAGTATTAAATTTTCAAAGAGGTATCTTTTTCCTACTGCCCACACACTCTATTAAACCTCACGGAGAATAAAAAGGTATTCGGTGGGTGTTACAGAGTCTGTGCTGTAACATTCAAATGAGATGTCACTATGCTGTGTTTGAAACACAATCCTACCGCAAAAACAGACATCAATGCGTCAAAACTGCTCATGCAAAATTCGCCTTTTGGGAATATTGATATTGAGTTTCCAAAATATCATTAAAATTTACCAGGAAATTCAATCTATTATTAAAAGAACTTCATCAACGCATAAAGGCAAATTAAACTTACACTTAGTTCTGACGTTACATCAAAGATCAAGCTTTCGACCAAATGTTGGACGGACGTTGTCCACCTGTTAACAAGAACGGAGACGACAATTATTCTTGTGTTTATCATAAACTAATTTGCAGGGCGATTTTGTGCTGATCTGAATGAATACTTCACTAACAAACCTATAAAGTATTGCACAACATATATGTAATAGCCTTGTTATAATGTATTACCATTCGTCCATATAATTTTCAAATTACATTCTGGAATTCTGAACAAACCTTGAATATCTTGGCAGTAAGCGAGTTGGGAAACAAAACAAAGTGCATTTTCAAGGTTTTACTGTAGCTATAGGATCATGCCATTTTTATTTTCATGAAGTCTTTCAATCGATTTTGAAATGTTTGATATATTCATCAGTTCCAGTGAAACCTGCAGGTAATACGCACGCTTGCAGTGTTCCTGATCAATAGTATATGTGACGAATTTCTAGTTTCCTAAATTTTTAACAATGATATATTTATGGTGACAAGTATAACAGTTCTTTCGACTCTATCTAGAAATTTGTCTATACTTTCAGTTGTGCAGGCTCAGGTAGAAAACGTCGCCAGCCAACAGAATATTTCCATAGATGACGCAAAGGTAATTAACAAACACGAAAATTGCCCCGGTAACAATCCGCTAGGTGTACCACAGATACGAACATAAATCTTTAGAGATGTTTTTATAAGATATTGTGATGAAGCGAAATGGAAACTGTCGGAAACTGTCAACACACAAGGGCAGAACTAAACTCGAGGACAAAACGGTAAGATTATAATAGATGTAAGGAGACAGTAAAGCAGCACTAAAACCATCGTGAAATTCTACAAAAACTATGAGGAATATAAATCAATCATTCTGTCGATTATATGAGTTTATTTAACTGCCATAGCTTCTGATCACGTGGCTTTGTCATTCCAGAAACGTCTATTTTGTGATTCACAGCCGACAGGAAAACCAGTACAGGTTTCTCAGGTGAGATTAAATTGACAAAATATAATTAACTTAGTTAATGTTCATTTTAGGAGATGTCTATATATTAGCACACACATATGATAATATTTCTAAATTGTTCAAATTTGATAGGTAGAGAGAGAAAAGAATAAGTATCCTCATTTTTAAGCTAAATTCGGACAATCATAATAGCCAATCAGCACAATAGGGTCACACAGTGCAAATGTCTTAGAAAAGACACCTATGTCACCAAGCAACTCGAATTTTCAAACAATTTTTTGACACATATCACGGTTAGAAAACCTATTCGTGAAATAAAGTATTTTTTATGTTGGAAATCTTTTTGTAGATTGCTGAGCTCGTATTGTTTCTGTGTTCTCCCGGGGCTGACAGTATGACTGGGACATCATTCGTCATGGATGGAGGCACCAGCGCCAAGTAATAAGTCAGTTCAACACTGTGACGTCATTCAAGAGGACACTGAGCAATCAAATAGGTCCTAATAGGTGTATGGAATTAAATATTGCTTAACATGACGCTAATTTACTATCCGTTAAATAAACATGTACATCTCTGATGAATCGGTGAATATTGTTTCTGTAATATGTATGACGTAGCTGCTCACGCGTTTGATAATGCAATTAATGCACAAGACGTTCTCACTACGGTGTTCGATATATTTTGTAGTGCGTTTCACTACCTTTTTCTCAATATCTCCGTTATGACATATACATTGATCCATCGACCATATAAATTGACTTAAGAATCATAGACCTTGATGTGATTGTTGTTAATTATCAATGAAAGCCTTGTTGATATTTTTATATACTACTCACAGTTTGCTAAGGGGGGGGGGATATTTTTTTTATTTATTTTTTTTAAATTGATTGTTTTTTCAATTCATCAGCATGCAAAAATTCCAAAAATCGTCATTACATTCGGAAAAAGAGCACCAGGAAAAGGGTTACCCTTAAAATTGGCAACAGCGAGGTATTCACTAAAAAAAACTTGCATTGAATATAAGTCATCCTAAATAAACAGAAACTGTTTAAGTATCGAATGTGACGCCCATGAGCATCAATTACAGCTTCATAACGTCTGCGCATGTCCCCAATGAGATCGCGTATCCGGTTTTGTGGGTAACGTTCCACTCAGCTACCAAAGCTGTTCCCAGCTCCTGGAGCGTTCTTGGCTGAACATTTCTGGCAGAGAGCGCTGTCTGCAGCATGCCCCACACATGCTCGATGGGATTTACATCCGGTGAGCGGGCTGGTCAATCCATTCGTTGAATAGTGTCTTGCTGTAGATACTGCTCAGTCATCCTTGCTCTATGTGGTCTAGCATTATCGTCCATAAGGATTAAGTCAGGGCCCATAGCGCCAGCGTAGGGTCGGACATAGGCATCAAGGATTCCATCGCAGTTAATCCGGGCCGTAACGGTATCATTATGGAAGACATGGAGGTCAGTTTTCCCACGAAGGCTTATGCCCCCCCTATCATCACTGAACCTCCGCAATATCGGTCATGTTCCAGAACGTTACCTGCCTGGAACCTCTCCCCAGGTTGTCTCCATACTCTAACGCGTCTGTCGGTGAAGTCGAGACAGAATCTGGACTCGCCAGTAAAAAGAACCGGTTCCCATTCCTGAAGAGTCCAAGTGCTGTGAGCTTGGGTCCAATCTAATCGGTACCTAACATGGCGGGCAGTTGAGGGAACTTGTATTGCTGGTCTACGTGACCTTAAACCAGCATCATGAAGACGGTACCTAATTGTCGGAGTGGCTACCCGGGTACAAGAAGCATTAAGGAGGTCATTTCGTAAAGCTGTGGCAGTCTGGAACCTGTGACGCAGTGCCTGAATGAGCAAAAATCGGTGTTGGCGCTGCGTTGTAGCCATAAAACAACCTCAAGCATGACGTCTAGAAGGGTTTCCGTTATTTTAGAAACGATTCGTCATTCTTGCCACCACACTTTGACACACCCCAAGGTCTGCTGAAACCTGACGTTGAGACATGCTAGCTTGCAGCATTCCGATGCCCCTATTCATTTCACCGTCATGTAACCGTTGTCTGGTTCGTCTTTGTAACATATTAACACAAACATGCAAAGAATATTCATCAAATTGATTTCCTTAACAATTTGAACAACGCCTTACTTAGCTTAGCTTAAATTAGCTTTTGAAAGGGGTGTACACGTGGAGAAGCGTGCACGCTCTTTTATGGTTGACTGAACACACCAACACAGGACGATGTTGAAGGCTAACATATTCGCCAAAAACAGTACGGAAGGAAATTATAATATCCTTTCTAATATTTATTTTTGCAAAATATAGGTGATCCTTAGCAGAATGTGAGTAATATATATAATGCCAATTGGGGCATTAACTTCATCAATCACCTTTGTTATCGAAATTATCAATTACTTTTTGAAGTTATAATATCAATAACTTTATTTCATATTTTGTTCTACAATTGTGTTAAAGGGCCAGCAAACTGCATTGTTATTAACATGACTTCATGCGAACATAAATGTATTGATTTTGTACAGCCTTAAGGTAATGTGTGGAAGTCGCGTGCGCAAGGGGAAAGTATGGAATGCGTACACGAGGGAGAGCTAAACGGAGTATGTATTCATTATGGAAAGGTGCGCGATGCTTGAATGAAAAGGGAGAGAGATGCGAGGTGTGTTGAGTTGGGGAGGGATACACGTGTAGAGGGTTTGTGGGGGAGCCACGTGTACTTGATGACGAAAGATAGAAGGTTTGTACTTTAAGAGGTGCAGAATGTATGCGATGGGGATACATGATTTGACGTATAAACACGAGGGAGAGGAATGCGGAATGTCTGCAACAGTGGTGAACTAGCTGGTCGCTCCTCTGATAGGAATGTCCTTGTAGTTGAACATTAAACAAGCAAAAAGAGAGAGCAACGGATGAATAGGTAAATGGAAGAAATGCAGTGTTTGCAGGAAGTAGATAGATAAAGCATGTGTAACCGAGGGAGAAAGATACAGAATGTGTGTACGAGGTAGAAAGATATGGAGTGTTTGAACGAGGGAGAAGATAGGGAGTGTGTGTAGGAGGGAGAAAGATACGATGTGTGTGTGCGAAGGAAAAAGATACAGAGTATGTGTGCGAGGGAGAAAGATTCAGTGAGTGTGTGTGCACAAATAGTGTGTGTGTGTGTGCACAGATAGTGTGTGTGCACAGATAGTGTGTGTGTGTGCGCAGAGAGTGTGTGTGTGTGCGCAGATAGTGTGTGTGTGGGCACAGATAGTGTGTGTGTCTGCACAGATAGTGTGTGTGTACAGAGAGTGTGTGCGAGGGAGAAAGATTCAGTGAGTGTGTGTGCACAAATAGTGTGTGTGTGTCTGCACAGATAGTGTGTGTGTACAGATAGTGTGTGTGCACAGAGAGTGTGTGCGAGGGAGAAAGATTCAGAGAGTATGTGTGCACAAATAGTGTGTGTGTGTGCACAGATAGTGTGTGTGTGTGTGCACAGATAGTGTGTGTGCACAGAGAGTGTGTGCGAGGGAGAAAGATTAAGAGAGTATGTGTGCACAGAGAGTGTGTGTGCAGAGTTAGTGTGTGTGCAGAGTGAGTGTGTGTGCACATGGAGTGTGGTGTGTGCGAGGGATAAAGATACAGATCTGCGCGAAGTAGTCAGTTGAGGAGTCTGCGCGTGAGAGATGCAATATTATACACGTATTTTTTATGTAAGCATTTGTTTTATATCGACATCAGATCTTGAATAGGCAATCCCACCGCCAATGTTTACGATATGTCTAGTGACGTAATGTAAAAAACATATAAAAGTTAACTATATGTACATATAACACTAATTGTACAGTGGAGATTTCAATCTGCATTAGCGTGGGGAGAACGTCAATTAGTTTCGTCCATAAAAGTTGTGTTTCAAAACAATAACATTATCTCAAGAAGCATTTATCTATTTAAACGTTTATTTCCGTCAATTACAGACGACTAAAAGAGCAGTTTATTTCCATTCGTTAATGCGTCTACGTTATAACGGAATAAGACATTACGAAACGGCTCTAAGGAATGGTATTTATGTAGCCTTGACTATGTCAAAGTGTTTACGGGTTAAACAATGACAACTGAAATGGATTATTTCCTAACAAGAGACGCCACTGATGCAATTTCCGGAAATGTCCTTACCTTTTTTTCCCATTATTTATTACTTAGTTTACATTTAACAATGAAAATTCATTATGGAAATAGGAAGTTATACTTGTTCTGGAACACTGCAAAAAGGATAAAATAAGGAGGAAACATCAAGTGAACAAGACTATTGCAGTCTACATTTATGTAGTAGGGTTTAAACTAGCAGTACTTTAGTCAAGTGTACACAAGTACGGGGTTTACTGCAGTGTGCCAGCAATAGCTGTTCAGCAAGGGGATTCAGTGTTAAGCTCATAGTCGACCAGTCGACCGAACACATAGTTGTTGGTAGGGTGGCGCAGTGGATAACGCACTCGCTATTCACCAGGGCGGCCGGGGTTCGATTCCCTGATCGGAAGTGAAAAGATATGAGGTCACCTGCCCGACCACGTGGGTTTTCTCCGGGCACTCCGGTTTCTCCCACATTAAGACCACGCGCTAATATCTTTGCCAACAAGAGCGACTAATACCAGTTATATAACTTGTGCCATAATTGTTGTGATATAAAAAAAAGTTTATATTTTTTATTTAGCTTAGACCAGTATGTGGTTTATTTTATAGTTGTAATATCCTGTTCCAGTCTATCGAAGACCAGTATGTGGTTTATTTTATAGTTGTATTATCGTGTTCCAGTCTATCGAATACCAGTATGTGGTTTATTTTATAGTTGTAATATCGTGTTCCAGTCTATCGAAGACCAGTATGTGGTTTATTTTTTAGTTGTAATATCGTGTTCCAGTCTACCGGAGACCAGTATGTGGTTTATTTGATAGTTGTAATAGTCTGTTCCAGTCTATCGAAGACCAGTATGTGGTTTATTTTATAGTTGTAATATCGTGTTCCAGTCTACCGTAGACCAGGATGTGGTTTATTTATAGTTGTAATATCGTGTTCCAGTCTACCGGAGACCAGTATGTGGTTTATTTTATAGTTGTAATATCCTGTTCCAGTCTATCGAAGACCAGTATGTGGTTTATTTATAGTTGTAATATCGTGTTCCAGTCTACCGGAGACCAGTATGTGGTTTATTTGATAGTTGTAATAGTCTGTTCCAGTCTATCGAAGACCAGGATGTGGTTTATTTTATAGTTGTAATATCGTGTTCCAGTCTACCGAAGACCAGTATGTGGTTTATTTATAGTTGTAATATCGTGTTCCAGTCTACCGTAGAACAGTATGTGGTTTATTTATAGTTGTAATATCGTGTTCCAGTCTATCGAAGACCAGTGTGTGGTTTATTTTATAGTTGTAATATCCTGTTCCAGTCTATCTGAGACCAGTATGTGGTTTATTTTATAGTTGTAATTTCGTGTTCCAGTCTATCGAAGACCAGTATGTGGTTTATTTTATAGTTGTAATTTCGTGTTCCAGTTTATCGAAGACCAGTATGTGGTTTATTTTATAGTTGTATTATCGTGTTCCAGTCTATCGAATACCAGTATGTGGTTTATTTTATAGTTGTAATATCCTGTTCCAGTCTATCTGAGACCAGTATGTGGTTTATTTTATAGTTGTAATTTCGTGTTCCAGTTTATCGAAGACCAGTATGTGGTTTATTTTATAGTTGTATTATCGTGTTCCAGTCTATCGAATACCAGTATGTGTTTTATTTTATAGTTGTAATATCGTGTTCCAGTCTACCGTAGACCAGTATGTGGTTTACGCAGTGATAAACTTGCTGTTTTCCAGTCTATTGTAGATCGATATTCGGTTTATTGCATAATTAAATTTACGGTCTGCAGGACTATTGCAGGTTTTCATTTCTTCATGTCCAAGACTATCACTGTCTAAGTAGTAGGTCAACGGCAGTGTTTAACTTACGGTGTTGCAGTCGGGAGCACTTTTGAAAAAGGGTTTGTCGCAGTGTCGATATTCACGTGTTTCAGACTATTTTTTTCCAATAGGATATTTACCGTAGTGGTTCTAGATTATCGCACTGCAATAAGGGATTGTTGCAGGGTGTAACTCTTAGTGCTGCAGATTATCGAAGTCCGTTGTTCAAGTCAGTCGCAAACAAGAAATGAGCATTGATTGAAATTATTTCGTACTGTTTTGAATTTAAATTAACTAAGCTGAATAAAAGCACAATCCAAACAATACATTCTCAGGATAGAACTGCAAGTTATGTTTTACAGAAACCGAAGTTTCTGTCATAAGTCATTTGTGTATGTCTGGCGATAATCAATAAAATCGATATTTCCTAATGCTACTGAGATTTTTATTTAACTATCGTAGCATAGCTCCTGTGACTTAGTTATCAGGCCATGTGATGGAATAATGGAACAATGTCGCCACATTGTCATCGCCAATTCCAGCAACGCCCAGCATTCTATCTGTAAACAAAATGGATAAAACGTCCAGGCAATAGCTTGGCTAAAATGTTTGCTATGTGATAAAAATGATGTAGTAAATATGGCGGAATATCGGCCATAAATATTAAACGGTGACCGCATTAATGTCTTCGATATATGAATATTCATTAGCCTTCATCAGCGGTTTATTTGATGGTCAATGACTCCCGAGGGTATGTTATCTAGCACGTGCCCAATAATGACTGATTATCAACGGTATAGTTACTTGGAATATGGCCCATAATGTAACATTTATATTCTCGATCTAACGATACGTGAATCCATAGCGTGCCTTTCTAATTACGGACCCGTGAATCATTATCCGGACGCAACTTCTGGACACGTGGTATGCTTGAAATGTCTCCGTATCAGCCGAAATCATTTAACAATAACGTTTACTAGCTATAAGGTCAGTCAAAGACCACTACTCGCGACGGGAGAACTAAATGACAAAGGTCATATGACGACGTGTACTTGTTATGAGGTCAGTCAAAGACAACTACTCGCGACGGGAGAACTAATTGTCAAAGGTCATATGACGACGTGTACTTGTTATGAGGTCAGTCAAAGACAACTACTCGTAACGGGAGAACTAAATGTCAAAGGTCATATGACGACGTGTACTTGTTATGAGGTCAGTCAAATACCACTTCTCGCGACGTGATAACTAAATGACAAAGGTCATATGACGACGTGTAGTTATTAGTTGCCTACTTGCTGCAGTGTATGATATCTATCTAATGTCATTTCTATAGTGTCATCTCAATGACATTTCACATCCGAAAGACAGCCGCATGGCACTGCACCTGGTAACATAATTCATATGCTGGCTTACCAGAGGTAACTAGGGAAAAACCGCCGAGTTAAGATACTTAACATAATTATAATAATTCTTGGTTCTTATACACCGCTTTATCACAACCTAGTTCGAAGGTTGTCTCAAAGCGGTTCACAAATTATTATCCGTGGTTATATGACTTTTGCAACCAGCCAGTACCTTTCTCAACTCCCTGGGGAGCATACAGCCAGAGCTGCCATTTCGGCGCTAATAGCTAGCATTTAGCCATTCCAGCACTGCCCAAACACGTACTCATTTACAGCTAAGTAGACTGGAACAAGCGGAGTAAAGTATCTTGCTCAAAGATACAACACAGTGTCTTGACGTGACTCCAACCCGCAACCCTTCGGTCAAGAGCCCGTCGTCTTACCACTAGACTACCGTGCCTTCATAAATAGATAGGGAAAAGGACAAACTAGGGACCTCAACTATTCCTATACCTCAATAAAGCCCTTGATAATCAACCATTCCTTTCACGAACTTTTACTTGCTATTTTCGAATAAGTGAACTTAAAACTTCTTTAATGATTTCCGCATGTTGCATTATTACGTAAACGTGCAATTTTCTAAATACAAAATAATAAAATCATTACATGTCACACCCGGATGCATAAACTTTATCAATTACATTTTATTTCCCAGTATTTGAACGTTAACATTCCACATTAAGGTCTTAGACCCACGTGTACACAAAGATATTAGTAAGAAACGTTATTTCGTTTCGAAGGAGCGAAAGAGATAAATGTATACAACAGTGTTAACAGAATAGGACACCACTGAGCCAAAATTGATTTAAGGACCCCGTACCCCTGCCAAAAACTGTAACTAATTGTTGGGAACATGACCATAGCTGTGATAATTGATTTCTGAAAAGAAACCATACTTTGCGGGTGTCTTATGAGAAACACTTAAGTGGAAATAAAGCAAAATATAATCAACATCAGTGTTCTGAGTGTTAACAGAGAAGAGGGAGTCAGCGGGGTTAGACGGAATGCTAATCCTGGACTTCAGATTGTTATATTATCACTCTAACTGACTGGGCTACCTTGTTAATTCCGTCTTTGCGTATTGCAGAGTTATCTTCTCTTGTGAGCAGGTATTGATTGTAACGTCATTGGTTTGTGTGAGAAAATTACGTCGTTTTCTCAAAAATTGATGACGTTACTGTCACAAACAAATGACGTAACAATCAATCCCTGCTCACAAGAGAAGATAAATCTGCAATACGCAAAGACGGAATAGAAGTGTCCTGGCACATCTGTGCAACAGTTTAAAATTAAAATCGGAAGTTAAGGGGATGATACTGTATATACGAAAATCTACAGTGCAGCGGGACAGGGATCCTTAAAAAGATAAAAGGAATAAAGAGCATAAGGTAACAAGGATCTTCTAACAAAAATACGGTGGCGGAACCAAGCGTTTATTAAAGGTAATGTTGATACCACCACGTGTGACATCCGCCATGGTGTATCTCTCTCAAATCCTAGAAACCGTGTAGCTCATGTCACCGGTGACCAAGTGTGTTATCATCGTTTGTTCACGCTTTTGTCCTTATTTGATGTTTAAGTAACATTGAGTCTTAATTTGATATTGATTGTAACCTACAATCTTAATTTGACAAAATATTGTTAGTACTTATAGATAAAACACTCTATTCAGAGACTTCGTGTTTTTTTTAATTACGTTGATTTCTTTGGTAATCTTCATCCACAAATTCATAGGTCAAAGAAGTTATTACAATTTTGATATAAAACAATTCTACGTTTCAGTGGGTCCTCGTAATCCACGAATTCGTGTACCCGCGAAATGATGTTTTGCCGGAAAACCACGAAATTTGGGCCCCACGAAAATATCTTATTTACAGTATAGTGAAATTGAATCCCAATATACCTTAAAGAACCTTAACTGGAAACGTTTTGCGCTACTCTTTCGCGGTTTTGTTCTGACATAAGTTAATTTTTGACCTTCTAGCAGATAAATAATGTACCATTCCTTTCTTGATTAAAATAGTTTCTCTTTTGCCTTTTAAAATGTCGTCTATCTGAAGTTTTCTTCAAAAAGTATCTGCTATCTTCTTAACGAGTTGACGCCCACCTTCAAAAACTGTATCCTGCATTGTGCTGTATACATATACTTGCATGCTTAACACATACACCGATATTGCCAGGTATTACATATGTACATAATTTTCAACCAAATCTACATTTAATTTGAAGAAAGATCAAACTTCTCAATTTGTTAATCCGTTTTTATTGCTAAATCACCTCATAAAACGAATCCCGCTTGAATAGTTGACCTCATCTCCGCCACACATACATTTACATATTGCGCTTACCGCATTGACAGCTGCCTCAGTAGAGCCATCATATTTGCTTCATTTACATATTATTGTAACGCTGTATTAACACGACTGAGCATTCAGTGAATCAAAAACAACACGGTGTGACAAAGGATGCCGGTAATTAATTAAAGATGGCGCAGTGGCGAGGTCCTGGAGTGATTCTCGGCTGGGGACTGGTACTTCATCTTGCGCTATGGAGTGGTCTATTCGTCTCCGCCATCACCCAACAACAGGTAGGCGTTATATATGCAATAACCTGAATTGCATGTTGATATAGATTCTTTTCAGAATAGTTCCTATACTGTTGAAATAATACGATATGCATGTACGTATAGTGTGTTCGCTCATACATAAAGGGTATTGCTACTGTCAATACACTTCCATATATGTGTCTTAAAGTATCAACTGCAATTCATGTGTTTTATGGAGTACGTGTTCAGATATTATTGCATTACGATTGGTATACAATGGGTATGTGCTTATATTCATACATAAAACAATGTTGATGTATGTTCGTATACATTTATATCATTTTTACATCATATGTATCTCTGTATACCTGTTGGCATTATATATGACATTTTTGTTTCGGGAAATATTCCATATGGGGTAGTTGTACATTTTATAAATCAACAGGTTTCCTTATACCGATATAACGTACAGTAATACCTGGTTATATTGCCACCATTCGTCCACAGAAATGTTGGCGTTATGAAGGGGTTTGGCGATAATTTGAGGGAAACATATACAGGAAATCTTAAGAAACGAGAAAATGGGATCTTAAAATATGTTGACGGTAAATGTTGATGAAATGAGGGGCACTATGTCGAGTTTTTACTGTATATAACTAGTTTCCTGGTTGAACCTGACCTGTTCGTTATTACCCCAAAACTTTATATACTTTTGATGTGACACTGATGGTCCGCTGTTTATACAAAATAGGTGTGTGTGTCATATCACATACAGTGATAAGTGATAGTCATACAGTTGACATATATGGCGGTCAGAGACAACATACAGACAAAATAAGGACAGCTAGAGATTTTTTTTCTTTCTGTATCGTAAAGCACGTGTTCATAACCTTCGCTGATGATACAGTGTTAATACTAACTAAATGTCCATACAAATCTCCATTAATGTTGAAAATACAGTCCTGTTTTCGTGTTATAAACTCCTGGTTTTTATCATCGGTTTATCGATGAACGTAACACACACACCGGTGATTGCACCTATAAGTTAAGACTGTTGATATATATAGTATGCCAGACAATGAATAACACTGTATCAGACACCTGTTCGTCCTTTTATAACTAACTCATCGGTGATGTTCAGATTATATTTCCTAACTTCTAGCGTTAAAAAAACGCCTGTGTGTTCTGGCTATGTTATATGGTCCATGTACAAATACTGACACGAATAGCACACCGTTAATGATGACTACAGGTTCATAAAACCTAGATTAATGTTGACAAAACTGTCCTGAGCTTGTGTGTTTTTTAAACCCAGCGTCTAGTTTTCCAAAGCCTTGTTAGCTTAATGAAGTCATTGACGCAATTTTTCAAAATGTGTTTTCTGAGAACTATTTGAACATTTTCAAAATCGTTTGTGTTTCTTGTCTTCAGATTATCCTTTTCAACCCTAATACATATAACATTACGTTTTTGAATTAAGTGTTTTTTGAAAATAATCTGGTCTAAAATGTTGAGTTAAGTTGATGTTAAGTTGATGTTAGGCTAATCAGGCGTTGAACAAGTTTGCCCAGATTCATTCGGGATATATTTACTCATTCACCCCTGAAGACACATTTGAACTCTTCCAATTCAAAGGTTGGAAAAGTTCATTATGAAATTTCAGGGGTGAATGAGTTAAGGACAATGCCACTAAACGCGTCTGAATCCTTAGTATTGTTTGAACCGCTTCTGCAGTTTTGTTATTAACAAAATAGAAACGACCGAATAATTTTACATGCTCTCTAATGTCTCCTGTCTATGGTCAGCTTTACCTGTGTAATACTATATGTAGACTGACAAATTAAAATCATCATGAAATGTTTTCTCTAATAACATTATCTCGTTATATTTCCTGTCAGCATGTCCCCAATTTAAAAACGAGGTCACCTGTTTGCCACATTATCAGTGCTATTTTACCGGTGACGCCCATGTTTAATATTTTCTCAACTAACATTGGTACGTCGCGGTATGTGAATTTATGCTGACTAACATGTGTATACTATCTTTCCAATGCGTGTAAGGGAGGAGGATGTTTTTAATGCGTTAATTTGCCTGATATTTAAAGTTTAAGATATATATTTTATCTGTTTAATTACCTGCCATGTTTATTAACGAAAAAAAACACTTTGTGTTATGTCGAAAACGTCTACCATATATTTCTTAACTTTTTCTTATTGTTGGAAAGTATGCAGATTCATATGGCCCAATCAGTGGACTGTTTATGTGTGACGGTTCGATGACTGTCACTTTCACCAGGCAAAAACTTGACACATTAATATTCCACTGATTGCGCTCATATGAATCTGTATACAAACATCCACTCATTCACCCCTGAAACAAAATGAACTATTCTAACCTTCGAATTGGAAGGTTTCAAATGTGCCTTCATGGGTGAATGAGTTTACCTGAAATAATCAGACAGCGTTCATTTCATTTTGAGGAATAATATTCCCCAACCTGAAGAATTAGAGATTTCTTAGTCTCCTTAGGCTTTCCTTGAGAGTCATTGTAAAAACCCAAATTGATTGCTACATCTATAGCAACACTCTGCTTTTCACTTCCATATTTTTTTCATTTTGGCAATGTTTCCTTAAAGGCATCTGTTACATAAAGTTCGACGACATTTAACCCAAACCAAAAAAAGGAAATATATAATTTTTTAACGATTTTTTTCAAACAAGGAAAAAAAATTAAAAAAATAAATAATTTCAAACAGAAATGTTAAACGTGGTTTTACCTATCAGAACATGTATGTTATGGATATCATTTGTTTCAAAGTCATAAACTAGTTCCCGCGTAACATGTTAACTCATTGTATCTTACGTTATTCTGTCAAGATACCAGATGGTAGACTCTGCTGGTGGCTTTCGTTGTCCCCAAGGTTTGCTGTAACCTTGATCACCACAGTTATTTCTAATGAGTATTGTCACGGTTCGTAATATACGCACTTTTCTCTGTATTTAATTTTAAACTAACCAGTACTCTTCTAATTTTTGTAATTTATAAGAGAATTGATGTTACGTACCTCCCCGACAGTAATTAAGACCAATACGGAAGTCCACCTTATTGGCCCCTAGCATCACCGATGCGTCCAAGGACAAAAGAGTGTAATTAATTCTTTGCATACGGTATACCATTGTGTGTGTCTAACGTTCATCTTTCATGAAATCAATTCACATCGCTTTTATTTTGTGCGTGTTTCAGACGAGGCCTTACGTCTCCGAGATACGAAAAAATATCTTTATTAGACCAGATCTATGTAACATAAGTAGCTGACGTCACTGTAACTTGAGCATTTGATTAAAAACCATTGTTCAGTATAGACGTCAGACAATGGCTTTAATGTAGTGGCATAAAATGTTCCACTGTTTTATTTCTGCATTGCCTGAACAAATTACCAGTTTCCCCTTAGAGAAGGAAATTTGCTAGATTTAATTTCATCGTTTTTTGCTGAATTTTAGACGGTTTTCCGGTGTTGACGGAAGTTCCATGTTTGTTTTATTTCTGTCTATGTCGACGTGTCCGTATAACATGTTATGGATGCTGTTACGGTAAGAAGCCAGTCATAAACCCGTTTTTGTGTCGACAAGATCAATGGCGGATAATCAAACATCGCGGCACCAGTATTATAGTGTTGTTTTATGACGCAAGTCACGTGTTATGCTGTCACACATGCACGTGGAATGATGTAGATGTTTAAATATCACGTGATCTGTTTTCATATAAAAACAAAGATTACAACAAACATCTTTCTGTTACGACCCATTAGCCGTAACATTATTTATTCTGTCGACCGATATCACTGTAGTCGTGCTATACCAAGGGTTGTCTGGGTTTTTTCCTAATGTAATAGTTTAATCAATTAAAGTATATTGTCTTATCATGTTAAGTTATAAATCAATGTTAACATTATCTTTTGTGATGTATTGTCTTAAATCAATTACAATGTGTCTTGTTCTGTTTCTGTCTTAAATCAATTACAATATATCTTGTTCTGTTTCTGTCTTAAATCAATTACAATATATCTTG